TCTTGCTCTTGCTCAGGCTGGTCTCAAACCTGAGCTCAGACAGTCCACCCACCTCAGCCACCTCAGCCTCCCAGAGTGCTAGTATTACAGGCATGAGCCACTGTGCCCGGCAACCCCAATTTCCATTCTTATTTCTTCATGGATGAGTGACCAAGTGTTCACAGATGGGCACTGTATTGTAGACCACATGTTGAGCGGGTTTTGTGGATGGAGATGTCACATCCGAGTCAAGAGAATGGAGTTTTCTGATCACACAGGCCAGAGGTATGTTCGAGGGACTCAGTGGAAGAAGTAGTCACTAAGTGGTCACTATGCCTAACATCGTGCTTATTAGGACCATGTTTACTCATCCTGTTCTCCGTCCTACAAAGGACTCTAGGAGGTTTATGTAGAGAAAGCAGAATCATTAAAAAAGAAAAATGCAACAAACTGAATGGATCTGGCTGGAGATCCCTTACGTCCCTAAAACATAAGCACTGGGCTTGGAACTCTAGAAGAGGGTGTGGTGGATCAATATCCACTATTGACTCTGGTCATGCTGTGGGACAGGCCATTTCTGATTGGGCCCTTCAGGAAAGGCTTGTTTTGGGGGGTTCTGATGTTGCAGTGCTATCCCCCCAGCACTTCAGGATTCCATCACACCAGGAGGAACTGGCCTGGTGTCTTGACTCTTCTCATTTTGAGTGAGTTGTTTCATATGCTACTTACTGCTATCTCCAGCCTAGGGGCAGAGAGATGAGAGACAGAGACAGAAACAGACTGACAGAGACAGAAAGACAGACTGAGAGAGACAAAGATCAAGAAAGACAGAGAGAGACAGAAATCCAGAGACAGATAGAGAGGAACAGACTGAGAGGGATAGAGACAGAGATGGAAAAATAGACAGAGACAAACAGAGAAAGATAGAAACTAAGAGTCAAAAATACACAGAGACAGCCAGAGAAAAACAGAGAGACAGAGATGGACAGAGACACAGATAGAGAGAAAGAGCAGAAAGACAAAGGGAAGCAGACTGATAGATACAGACAGAGACTGAGAGTGAAAAAGACATGGAGACAGAGACCTAGAGAAAGAGAGCAAGAGACAGGTATGTGGAGAAGGAGGAAGAGAAGGAGGAGAGGGCCATGCCACCCATCCCTGCCTTGCCCAGCTGGGCTCTTGAAGAGCTCACGTCAGCCAGACTGCAGCCCACTTGCTCGCCTTGGACCTTGAGTGCCCAAACTGACCCCTTCCCTTCCCTGACACCCCCTCTGTGGGTTCTCACCCACCATTCCCACTCAAGCCCCATTTCCTATCACAGTAAGGCTGATCAGCACCTGCAAAATACAAGACACAGGGGTGCCCTGTGCCCCACATGGGGGAGGCAAGGAAGTAGGCAGAAGGTGGGGGTAAAGGTGAGGGTCCCCCTCTAGACCAAGAAGGGGAGGGAGCGAAGGTGAGCATGCTCTCAGGGGGTTGTTTGTGCCCATGAGGGTGTCCAGGCAGCCAGGTGAAAGGCCATGAAAGGTCCCACATGCCTAGTAGAGGGATGTGCAGCTGGCCCTATAGAAATGAGGGCCACTGATGTGTTTTTGCCATGATGACTCAAGCACATGGTTCAGAGAGACACCAAGTGATGCTAGGAGGGAGCATGTCCAGGGTCTTGGAGCTGGCTGATGGCAGGCAGAAGTCCACACGCAGTGCCACATGGCACTGCCCTGGCTGGCCCTCTGTGCCTGATGCAGCAGGGACTAGTGAGGGGCTAAGCAGGGGCAGGAGCTTGCCCTGTGAAAAGTAGAGGCCAGGTCTCGCAGTTAGCTTGGACCATGGGGAGGAGGGGGAGACACAGATTTTTGATCCTTAGGGCCTATGGGGGTGTTAGGGAGAAGCCATCCACCTAGATTCTGGGAAGAAGGAGAAGGGAGTACTGGTGCCTGTGGGGAGTGTTTGCCCAAGTAGGCTTATGCCTCCTCTTAGCCCTGGGGGCCTGGTCCTCTGTTCTTACAGACTGATGAATTCTGATCCCGACAGAACTCAACTTGGACAAGGGGACTGCAAAGTGACAGAGGCTGTCTTGGTCCGTAGGTGGTCACGTGCCCAGGCCTTGGTCCTCTCTGCCCCTGCCTGGCTCGCTCTGTCACAGGAAATAGACCAGAACCAGCGCTCCCAGAGGTCTGATCTCAGGCTAGGCTGTTTCTCCACAGCTCACACCAGCTCTGCCCTGGGGCCTCCTGGCATTGGCATTAGCAGGGTGGGTTAAAGATGCCTTAAGGCTGGTCCTGCAGAGGCTCTGCAGGCCCCCACTGGGTGCTGCTGCTAAGGGCAAGGCAGCCAGCAGCAAGGCAACACCTTCCACCCGTGCACCAAGAACCACTTCAAAAGCCTAATGACTCCAGATTTGGGCTGTTGCTTGGTTTTGTTTATCCGAGTGAGGAGGTTTGCCCCTCTTCACTTTCACTTTCTTATGTGAAGGGATGTGTTTGGGGATGGGGCAATCAGCTTTATTTTAAAAAGGGAAAGTGGAATTGGATGAGAATGTTTCAAATTGTATATGGAACTAACACACTGTACCCCATGATAGTATTAATGTGCACAACTATGATTTAATAAAAAAGAAAAAAAAGGGAAGGTGGAACAAAGCAGCCAATTAGGGAGGCTGAGGATGAAGGTAAGAAATTATAAACCACCTCCCCCAGGTCTGCTCTGCTCCTCCATGAGGTTGTCCACTTGGCAGTGGCCAAGGTCCAGGATGGTTTAATCTGGGAGTCTGGGCGGGGAGATGCAGGAGAAAGGAGATGCATGAAGCTCTGCCAGACAGAAGATGCAGATGGAGAGAGAAAACCTTTCCCCTGAAGCTGAACTGTGTAACTCAGCCGTTTCCTTTTCCTCTATCCCGCCAGTGCCATCCTTCTGGCCCGCCTGCCTGGGGGCAGAAAAGAGCAGGAGACAGGAGGCTACCCCACCCCTCCTCTGTCTTCTCTGCAGGGAGCCAGCCTCCCTGACCCACCCGGAAGCTTCATCTCAGGAAGCAGAGAATCCCTAAGTGTGAGAATCCCACAGAGAGCAAAGTGGGGGTGTGGACGGGTTGGAGGGATGGTCCTTGCCACACCCACCCCTGTCACCCACCCCTGTCAATGTTAGCTGGGGTTCGCCCAAGGTTTCCCATTCCCCCTGAGGCTATAGGGCTGCCCGGGATTCTTCTTGGGTAGGGATGGGAGAAGACCAGGGGACTTTCCCCCCTCCCCTCACATGAAGAATGCCCGATTGTATCCGGAGTTGTGTCAGGGTCTATTCCGGATGGAATACCTGTAGTCCAGGTGAAAGGGTGGCACATGCCTGGGGAGGGGTTGGACCCCCAAGGCCCACAGGACAAAGATCCTAGGGCGCGGGGCTGCCAGGAGACTGGTGACCTTTATGGGAGGAGCGCGGGGGCGAAGGAGCTTCCTTTTGCACCCAGGAATGCGGCGGCGGCGGGTTCTAATTAGAAGCCTGGCGCGGGAGCAGGCAGCCCGCGGGGCTCTCTCGGACGCGCTGCCCTCAGCTCTTTGCGGCCCGTGGCATGCGCGTCAGGGTACCCCGCACTCCAGGGTGCGCCGCTGCTGCTGGCCCTATGATAGGCCATCCTGCGCCTTGAGGGTGCCGCCAAAGAACTAGGGCACCCGGTCTTCTAAAGAGGTGCCCAAAGCCTCTCTCCGGCCCGGCGACCCGCCTCAACCCGCCCTGCTGCGCCCCCACCCCGGTAGCCCCCGCTTCTGAACCATCTCGAAGAGAAAAATTATTATCGGATTAGATGTACTTCGGCTCGCTCTGTCTCCCTCCTTCCCCTCGGCATAATTATTATAATTCCCAGCCAAGCCGTCGGAGAAGGTTCCTGGGAGGGGGAGAGGCTGGGGAGAGTGTGGTTCTTTCCAATTCTGGGTCTCCACCAGAGGCGGCGTGTCCCAGCTTCTGGCACCCACATTCCTCCCACTTGGATTCATCCAATCTTGGGCACCTTGGAGTGCCCTCAAGTCGAAACTGGGGAGACCCATTTCTGTGGTGGCTCCGCAGAAACATGCACCCTCGAGGAGGGGTCGTCTTGTCTCCCTCTTCCCCAAGCTAAGTGCGGTGGAAGTGGGGGGCACAAGAAGAGAGATCCGTGAGGAACTAATTCTTCTTTGGTCTTTGGTTTATCAGAACTTGCATTGCCAGATACGGAATGGTCTCCTGCCACTGCCTTGTCTGCTGGGGCAAGGGACACAGCACGGCTCTCTTGGCTGAGGGTCCCGGAGCCTCGGGATCAGGAGCCCTCACATCCCATTGTTAACTCTCTCCTTACCTCTTTCTAGAACAACCCCTCCTTACCAGGCAGATCCAGGCAGGGGGCTCACATACAGGGCCCATAGGTACCCCAGCGCACGCACTCCGGTGGGGAGGCACGCGAGCCGGGAGCTGGCCCCAGTGCGCCCTGCCGCCGGCTCTCTGCCACTCCCCGCCTGGTCCCAGCTGTCTTTACGTAACTGCGCTTCTCCGAGCTGTTCAGTCTTGTCTCACCGACTTTGTTTTAAAGTGTGTGTGTGTGTGTGTGTGTGTGTGTGTGTGTAAAGATATGGTCCTTAAAGAAAGTCTACAGTGACTTTCCCTTCAGCATGACCTCCTCTCTTGCCTGTCTCTCGGCATCCAGCTGTCTTATGTCTTTGGTATTAGTGCGGGCTGACCCCCTTTGCACCTCTCCATAGCCCCCTGTTCGCCCTGTCCAACGCCGGGGACAGTTGGGACCTTCACCGTCGCTAACTCCCACCCCCAGCCAAATCCCAGGCCCGGGAATCAATTTTCCCTAAAGCTCTGCCACCAGTGCCCCAGCCGCAGCCCGAACAGGTCGAAAGTGACCGTCCAGGAAAACCACCCTCACGCGGAACAGGAGTCTCCGGGAGCGTGTTCCGGGTCACTGTGGGGTCCCTGCCAGAGGGGACGTTTGTCGGCTAGGTGTTGCGGGGGGGCGACGCACAGGGACAGAGGTTACTGAGGGAATGCTCACTCACCACCAGATCGGGTAGCTGCCCAGCGCCTGCTTCAGGCTGCAGAGGAATAAGAAGTATCCGAGCGGGGCCATCGCCGGGCGGGAGAGCGCGGAGGGCCAGGAATCCGCCCCGAGAGCTCGAGCACCGGGGCGGGCCGGGCCCTGAGAGCTGGCGCGGCAGTGGCGCTGGGCCCTCCTGCGGCCGCGGGGTGCGCGGGGTGCGCGGTGTGCGCGGGTGTGCGCGGCC